TATTAACATAAAATAGATTACATTAATAAGACATTTTCCATTTTCCACATCACTTAAATATCTCTAGTATCATCACCGATGCATGTACACTAATATTTGTTATTGTCACACATTTCAATGAAAACGACACTGTCATTTATTTCTTACTTATTCTTATCATCATCAGCAACAACCAATTGAGAGTCGACCACTGAACCATGGGTGTCGTCTACAAAACAAGCGTTTAGCATAATTTCCACGCTTGAGAAGCGGATTAGAGATTGCAGTTTAAATAGGTTGATTAATTCCTCATGGTTCAACGTTCTCCGTAGACTGCATCATCACTTACGAGATAGAGGTCGGCTCATCAAACAAAAAAAAACTATAATTACTACATACCTCAGCAGCAGGCTTTCCTCCTGAAGAGACACACTCGATTTCCACTGGCTGGTCTTCAGTCGCATCTATGAAGGCTCCTCTTAATATCCTGGGTGCTTCAGGAGCGACCAGAACTGTGAGCTGAGCGTAGCGGGAGCGAATCGCTGGCTCATCTAGGAAAAAACATTTTTATGTTAATATCGACTGCATGGTTGACGTGGTGGCTGGGCAAATGGGTGCAAAGAAGATACAAGTGCGTTGCTTGTCTTTTAGGGACTGGAGATAGCTAACCCTATCGATCGCATCTTGTTTTTCAATTCCGAAATTAAAATATTTTATAATAAACATCTTGCCGAAGTCTGAGTCAAGTCAAAAGATTATTTCGTCAAGAATAATACAGACACAATTACTTTTCATATGGACTTAAAGAAAGTATAACAATAATATCTTAGACATAAGTATTGATATAAGAATATACAGACTATATAGGTAAGTAATATCTTGAGAATATATCTCATTATTTCTACAAGTGAACCAATAGCTTTCTTGGTACTTTGTCCAAGTTATTGTAACAAATAATTGCTTGTGATCTTTGTATTATTACTTATACAGAATAGCTATTTACTTTCTACGTAATGGAATGAGTAACGAAAAACAAATGAATACTTTGTTTATTCATGTGATGAAACTGTACCTACTTATATTAATAGAAAAAGTGTAGTCCTTCTTTCAGGATTGAATATAATTCAGCAGAAAAACCAATCGTTGTCTGTAACTTAGTGACTATCCTCAAACTCAATAAAAAATGGCCACCAGGAGGTCCACCAGCTCATTTTTCGCCCTATGCCTTAGAAATATGTCTCCAGACACCTGATTTTAACAATCACCACAGCTAGTTAGGAACGAAAAAATTTATTGACGAATCTAATCAAGAATATGGTAAATGTTGTATGTTAAAAATACCACAAGGTCTCAAACGAATTCGTGAACATAATAATCACTTTTGAAAAGAATGTTGCTACTTACTGTTTAGCCCGGAGCTAACTTGGCACTGATATAATCCGTCATCTTCTAGACTGACATCCCTGATATCTAGAGAGTAGTCTCCTGGAACAAATATACTTACATTAGTCTTGTAATTAAACAAAATAAAAACACTAAAGGCGCTTTAAACACAGGATACATATTTCGCTTTGCAAGTTGTATTTCGTCCTTTGAAAATATATGTTTAATTAAACATAATATTCAAACGACGAAATACAACTTGCTATTTATTTTGTAGTGTTCATTTTTGACGGTTATATCTGTTGGTATGTCTGTGTTAAGATAGGAAAGCGAGCTTATTACACAGGATTTAATATGTGACTCGAGTCGTTTACTGCGAATTCTGAAAATCTGACCTAGTACCCACAGGCGAGATTCCTTCCTCGACAGTTGCACTTCGTGAAACTTAGGTTTTTGAGTGATGTTAACAAGTGAGTTTGGCTGATTAAATTTATCTTATTTATATCCTCAAATCAACCTCAAACAATCTAAGAACACTCAGCAAAAACTGAGGACAAAATTGTGTAGAAAACGAACAAAGAACATAATACAATAAGTGCAGCCATTGAAAAATCTATCAATACTAAAGCAAGAAGGAAATAATTAGACTCATAATCCTCATTAAACATTCCTTTAGTCTGAACTAAAGCTAATAAAGTTACTGCAAAAAGCAATGCAGCGTTTCAACGAAGAGATTTTATTTAATAAGCTGACGAAGGCATTTTGTAGGATTCCAGTGAAATGGGCAGAGCTGGAATTATTTCAATTGAGTACAATTGATTTGTACTGTTGAAGTGGTTATATTTGATTTAGTTTTGAAGTGAAGAATCGACTTTACTTTATCGAAGTGATTGTTTCCAATGAAATCGAAACGAAATACGTAAATTGTGCGACAATTTTTTTTTTCTTTGTAAATACTTTGCCCCACTTTGATTTTCTCCTGTGTCGTGGGTGCGTTTACAAATATACAAGTTCACATAATATATGGCACCCAGACCCGAAATCTGTAGATTACACAAAGAGTTGTTCCGTGCGGGAATCGAACCCGTGACACGTTGCGTGGCAGCCAGTTGCCCAACCACCGCACCCACCGTGTAGTCAAAATATATGCTTTAGAGAAAACACGACAGCCCACTATTGGATATGTGACTCTTCTACATAAGAGGGTTTTGTCAGAATCACCACGCTTGGAGAACGAAGTTAAAAATAGATTGTCCAGGTTGTCCCGGTCTCCACCGACCACAGAGTTTAGTCAAAGATATTTCGACCAAATAATAAATGAATGTTTCCATTCCGACCGGATCAGATGAAATATTAAACTGTAAACCGCCAAACACCAAACGAAAACCTTTCATCCACAGTAAAGTTTAAGGTTCACTTTATAATTAAAACAAATAAATAATTAATAACTACGAACTAATAATTACTTGGGAACCAATTAAAGTTGGAAGTTTTGTTACAATTTTTGTTACTGAAGTTGTTTTGTTGTTAGTTTTCGTGAAGATTATATATTTAGGGCTATATTTGTTTAACACGTTAAACGCCATGGGGGTCACCGGTGACCGACGTTAGCGGAGGATTTACCTTCAACAGTTTTTTATTGGCAGTCAAAGTCTTAACAAGCGTTCTGTGTTAATGTAACATTATTTCGTCTGCTCCAGGAGCCAGAGGTGTACTTACATCTACGGACTTATTATTTTCTCTGGGTGTAAAAATGGAATGATAATTTCTTGGTAATGAAAAATGGATGGCCTCGTTGTCCGAGTGGGTAAGTGTCAAGTGCGGCTGCTGGGCAAAGGGTCTCGGTTTCGATTCCCGGATTGGGCAAGGTATTACTGGGTTTTCCATAAAGGTATGTGTCAATACAGTCATAACATAGATAGTGAAAAGTGGGTGTTAGTTTGTACTGTGGCATTAAGTACCGTATTGTGCACCTCTGCCTACCCCTCCGGGGATAAAAGGCGTGGTGTTATGTCACATTGTTGGAGGCATAGAGAATAACTAATTCTTGTATATAAATCTTGTTTTTGAAATGAACAAGGAATAATTTAGGACATCATGTTTGGCGCAGTGGCTGAGCGAGTGCCTTATGTACCTCTAGAAGGTAGTCAACTAATTATTGTAGGTGCACGTCAAATTATTTATTTATTTATTTATGCTTCATGGACAAAGTGTACACAAGATGGACTTAATACCGCAGGCATTTTATTTCAGATGGCCTCTGGGTGATGCAGAGAAGAGTAGATGGTAGGAGCAATAAGCAAATTACGGGTATATAAAACAACCATCACACTAGAGAAAATCCTAGCATGGGGCCAAGATTTTATCCGGAAAAATCTAGCTCTCAACAAAGGAGCATAGAAAAACATGAAGTGCAATTTTCCATCTCATTCACACCTTACATTCTAGTAGGTACATACATACATACAGAACAGTCTTAAAACTGCTACAGATTTCATTTTAAAATTGTGAAAGCTCTACCAAGACCCACTTAAAGGAATCTTTCAACATGTCTGTAAAACGTTTCAAACATATTTTTCAGCGCTTACAGTAAAAGGTGTAATGTATAGAGTGTTCAGAATTTGTTGTAAACATATTGTAACACCATGTATATATCTTCAGAAAAGATGGTTTATGTCAAGGACGTTGTCATTTAGATATAATTGAAGCACCAAAATGTCAGTGGTGTATTTATGTGTGCGTGTATACTTGCAGCACCGTAATGTATGACGGACGAGCCATGTCACGCGACAGATGTCCTTCGTGTCAATGTGTGTGTATTCTGCGAGTAAGCCAGGTGCCACAGTCGTTGTATCAAGAGACGATGTTTGAATTCTTTTGTGTTTTTTTTAATATATGTATTTATTCTCCACGGACTCTTAGTCCATGCACTTGTTATACATTTTTCCTGTCCTTGGTTTGTGTATGCACAAAATTACATTAAAAACAATAGAATAAACCTTTGTCTTCTTTACATAATTTTAATATAATCATAAAGACTAAATAATTTTTAATCACAATCGGTAATTTGACCACCATCTCGTTTAAAGGTAAACGATGATGTTATTTACTCGGATCAATGAAGACAATAAAATAGTGCTTCAATTATAAGTCATCAAGTTCTAATCCATACTCTATATATGCTATACAGCAATTGCTATTTGTTGAACTTGGGAATCGAAGGGATTTTGATTTTGCAATCTCTAACAAGACATTGTTAAACTGTTTCATAACAGACGTGATAACGTGAGAATCGCATGTCATTGTTCAAATGTAGATTAAGCTACACATATAAAATGAAATTATACTTTTACACATTCCATTAAAAGATTGCAAAATATATAATTGAAATTAATTGGAGCAACAGATTGTTTTCCATTTATAAAACACTAGCTGTTGCCCGCGACTCCATGTACTTTTTAATTCGTAGCCTATTTCATTCGCCTTCCATCTATTACGTATCTTTGTCATTGTATACTTAAGATAGTCAAACAAACTTAGTTCCAAATTTAAAATAGGTAGGCATTCATTGTAATATTACATGATGACATATCAAATACTTTTTTCAAACTACTGCGAAGAAACCTAACTTTAAAAGAAGTGTGAAGTCGAAATTGGAAAGTCCCAAAAAGATTTAAATAATAATAATAAAGAGCATATGTGGTTACAAGTTCATCTAAGATGATCTGTAAAAAACTATCTATGAAGAGGTATTTTCCATCACCCGTTCTCACAATTGATGACAATTTCCCTTCCTATTTTACAATTGTTTTCTGCCTGCCAAATAAATCTTGGATGACCTTGAAAACATGTATAATTCTGTGCTCGTCAAAATTAAATCATTATACAGTAAGTTGGCAGCCAAGATTTCATCGGTCGATGACTTCTGTTGCGTAAAAATTCTAATAATACGCCATGATGCAGAGATATGAAATGAAAAGTGAATGTTTGCCGATCTGATTTGTATTACGAATTTGATTTAAGATTGCGTAATCGAATTCTTTGTGGTAACCGGTACGTACATATAGGTAGTTAAAACATCAATGACAAGGGGTCTAGACTAATTGTTTTGCTGTTTTTCGACGACGAGCCATGCTTCACCAAGAATGAGTCGGTTTAACCAGGGTGATACCGCAGTCTCACAGAAAACCGACGTGGAACAACGCTTGCGTTGTATTGCGCCGTTTTAGTGATGTTATCGTTAATCCTATATCGCCAATTCCTAAGAGGCACTTGTAATTCCTTCGATGTTTAGTGCACTTAAATTATTTATACTGTTTCTGAGATTCAACTTGGTATTTATTATAACAAACCCTTAAGTGGAGAAAACACATAACACAGTAGTGCACTGTACCACAAGCTGTTATTGATAATGATAAGGGGAAAAATATAACAGATGTTGTGACAATCAACTAAGTTGTAAGAAACACGAAATACCATTCTATAAGTTTCCCTAAACATTCTTTTATTCCATCAAAAGTATATATTTATACTTCGTCTAAGGTAAAATGTCACGTTTTCGGGATTTAGAATTAGATCTACCGTCCGACCTAAATAAAGCGTAGGCGCCTGATCCTAATTCAAATTGATAAAGTCAAAGGTCCAAGCTATTTGAGATTTCTTTATAAATGGCGGATAAAACTTTCTTTATTGTATCAAATAGATATTAAGTTGGTTTTATTTTTAGTTTTATAAGGTGTGTTACTGTTCGCACAGCTGAGAGTTTTCAGACTTTTTCGATCTCAGTGTAATTTACTTTCTTTTGTCATGGTAAGAACAATGAGTATTACATCTTAAGCCAGCTCTCCCCTGATCAGAAGCAGACCCGAGTATACCGAGCCATCGCCATCCGCATACGCCTCAAAGAGCCACCAGACCAGGTAAGGCCTAATAAATAACTTAACGGGTTACCGGGGCTCCGGCTCGAAGTGCAGGAGGAGAAACAGGGTGGTTTTTAGTCAGTAGCAGTCTGACACTCCCTCTCGCCTCACCCGGATGGGAAAAGCCATTGGATTAATTTTCCCCCTCAAAAAATAGAATGTTTATCATTAGTCCAACTTTTT